ACTTCTTTTTTTTAAATTTCAGCTATTACAGTGATTATCATCTTCTTTCTTTATCTTTTTACAAAAACAAAGGCTCATTCACTTTAATCTTCACCAAAAGATCAATAAATAAACTGTGAATTAATTTGCATATTATCATCATCATCACATATATATACTTTAGACAGCTAATAATATTGATTAGACAAAAGAGTTCAACAATACGTGTTTATATATGTGCGTATTTAGATATGTGCACGTATGTGTAATTCATTGTATGTGTATGTCGATGCCTTAATGTTATGCTATTGGATTGCTGAACAAAATTGTCAAAATATATTTCGTTTTTAATGTAGATAAGTTGGCAAATTCGACAAATTTAGTTGACACTGTTATTTGTTTGGGCTCTATAAAAACTACATATTACTTTTATATTTTCAAATAACAGACGGTCATATATTCAGTCAGGGAAAAGACTATCCGAAGTATGGAATCCAGATGCCAAGCAGATCTGTGTTTTATTCTAGTGGTCATCATTTTCATTCACTAATAATTAATTCAGTGAAAATTTTACCTACTAATACTCCTTTTTTTAAACAAGGAGGGGAATGCATTTGAACAAATGCGTCGGTGGCACAGTGGTTAGGACTCTCGCCGACCATGCACATGGTCCGGGGTTCGAGCCCACGCCGGCGCACACCTGATATCTATGGTCGGCCTGCAAAATTTGGGCTACCGATATCCATGCTGAAAATTCCATACTTGTACCAAAAATACAGTGTGGAATCAAGCTGTAAATCAAAAAAATTAAAAAAAAATTAAAAAAAATTAAAAAAAAAAAAGAGCGCAGAAATTAGCTTTTCGTTGGTGTGATATTTGACATAACTTTGAAGGATGTAAATTAAGTTGGAAATTGACTATTGATTAAATAACTGCAGTGTGATGATCAGATGTCATACCTCAAGTGTTTCACAATGGAAAACTCAGTGAAGTATTTGAAGTTAAAACAGGAGTAAGATAAGAAAGACTGCCTACTATCATTGATGATACTCCTCCTGATTGTAGTGAACTGGATCATGCAACTGACTATAGGACGCGACAAGACAGGGATGTATTGGACCAACAAGAAAATTCTAGGAGATTTGAACTTCACTGGAGATTTATGTCTTTGAATAAAAGGGAATAATTGTACGACCTATGTCCAATGTCACACAAGGTCAAAGATGTACAGGCTCAGACCAACAAGTTGGCAGAAGAAGTAGCGAAGACAGGACAAACAACAATAAGCAGTAATCACTAACTGCGGGAAAAATTTGAAGGAAAGGAATATTTCCACTTATCTAGGAGGGGTCATTCCAACTACAGAAGTCACGGGTGAGAATCATAAAGCTACGGTAGGACCTTCATTTATTTGAAATCAGTGTGTATTTTTACTGCACTCACCACAAGAAATAAGATTCGGATTTTCAACCCTAATGTGAAGTCGGTTGTATGTGGTCTAGAAACTTAGCGCGTCTCCGAATGCATTTCCAGCAGTGAACTGTAAGCATTTCTAGGCACCTGAGTTCTCTCCGTATTGAAGATCAGATGGTCCCCAAGAAGCAAGGATGTCTGGGAACGAACCAGTCAATAATATGCCAACCAACAAATATGCCGAAGAAGATGGAGATAGATCGGAAATACACCAAGTAGACCGTTGAGTGACATCACGCCCCAGGCCATCGAATGGAACCCTAATGGGAAGCGATAAGTTGGACGTCCGAGGGCGACACGGAGGAGAGAGTATGAGGAGAAGATGAGAGCTTACGGGAAATCGTGGATCCAGATAAACAGGACCGCAAAAAACAAGATTAAATATAGATATGCTGTTGAAGCCTAATGTTCCACTCAGAACCAGTACTAAAATTTCTACTAACTTTCAGAAATAACCATCCTTTATGTCTATGAAGTATCTTTTACTTTCCCAGGTAACAAGCATCTAGATATGTGACTCCCAGATGTGTGTGAGACATCGTAGGCCTTAATTTAAAACTAAAATATCCAAAACATTTTTCAGTTGGTTTATTAAAACAAGAAGGAATAATTGGTATTAAATGGACGGAGGCAATCGGCAGGAAGCCTTGAACCTGTGTTTCGTGCTAGTTGGCAAACACCAGTCAGCAAGGCGTACCTGTAACCTTGAAAGAACTCATGGCCATTCTGACATTCAAAGTCACATCATACATTGCTGCAGTCAGAGATGCTACGACTGAGTTATTCGAGTTCGAGATTGACTGCCTCCTGTAAGATTGTGTTGGGTATCCTGCTGATCGCCTCGGACCATCTCATAACAACAGTTCACAGTGCACTGCAATGACGAGCCACCTAGTAGGGTGGCCACATTTCAAACTTGACTGATAGAATTTACTCTACACCAAAGATAGGACTGGACAAATTACACTAGTTACTGACTAGTATACATTCAAAAATACAAGAAGGAATAACCTAATAGATAAAAACATTTCACATTGTGTACTAGTCATATCTATATCATAACTACCGGGCGAAAATCAAGTCATAGTTAGCCTAACCACTGGTGATTATGTCTCCACTGGTGTGACTGCCATAAACTGATTGGCTAGTTACTAACTGATTAATATATATATATATATATATATATATATATATATATATATATATATATAATATAAAATATTTCGTGGCGGTAGAAATTCTCAGTTTATAAAAAGTCAGTTTATGTGACAACTAAATCTCAAGGTCTCCTCTGTTAAGTGACTGTCAGTTATCAAGTGAATGAATACACAGAGATAAAGGACGTATGCAGATTTTCAAAACTGATAACTGTGCAAATTATAACACACCATGTGCTTACGCAGAGAAAGAAGATTAGCAGATTTACGTTTTCAAGGTTTGGTCGTGGAAACAGGGTTTTATATCTATTTATTCATTGAAGATTTCATTTTATGTAGTTCAACTTTTCAATGAGAAACTACATGTGAGTTTTAAAATTCTACTGAATAATTTCAATGTTTTCATATTCCGTCTCGTGATGTGATACTGTGGTGAGAGCAGGCTTCTAGCCAATTGGTAGACATTAATTTACGTCAATGTCTATGTCGCTAATACTGGTGGTGAGAAAATATGAACAAGACTGATTCAACAACCAATCACAGCAGACTTAACGTGGGCAAATACGATTCATAGATATATGGCTTAGATTTCTGAGAAACCAGTCACAAGCAGTACAGAATAACCTTGAGCAAGAAAGAACCAACCAGAAGACTGTGTTTGTCTGCCTGAATAAGCTATAATAATGTACATGAAATATATATAAATACGTGTTGATTTCCTAAATAAGCGATCTGTTGTTATAGTACTATAGCACTCAAACCTAAGGCTGGAGATTTCCCAAGCTTTTCAATTTCTTTTGGATTTTTCGGTGGTTGAATAGAAAATCTATTGTGTTAACTTTCCTCAGTATGGATTTCTCGAGAAGTTTGCCCGATATATATTACATCACAGTCTAAGAATTTTGTTTTCTCAACATAGACTGTAAATCCCTGAGATTTCGCTAATTCACATGGACAAGAATGCTCTACAGACTGATAATACATAGATTACTCTGATGCTGCAAACACTGAGTACCTCTGTGACAGCGTCTGATGTGTATACTATGAAAGTCTATTTTTGCCCATGTTTTACGTTGTTCTTAATTTTGTGAATAAAATTCCCAGTATAGTTAATTATCATAAGAATTTCAGCTATATTCAATATCCCGTTTTTTTTCACAACTATCCTTTTATTTACTCTTCTTAGGCGGTTGGAGACTTCTGCACTTACGACGTATGAGTATTCAAATTCCAAACATTTGTTTTACTGTTTTGTCTTCATTAAACAACACACGATAAAATATCCATTTTCTTGCCGTCTAAGTAAGTAATCTAGTGAAGATAGTTCATCATCATCACTAAATTCTCAAATAAATTTAATACAAAGAGATTCATTGGTCAGTTTCTTCAAAAACAAACACCATGAAAGCATCATTAACCGTGTATTCGGCATACTTTTAATTTGTGCATCTTAAGCAAGATATTAATTATTAACTGTCAAGAATTTTCATCAGCTATTTATTAGTCACATGTTCAAGTCTTTCATAGTTGTAGATAACTTGTTTAAACTAATCGTAAATATATGTAATCATTTATTGCTAACAGTAATATAAAATTATGCATGTCAAGTAAAAAGGCAGAGAGTTCTAAAAACATTCAAGTATTGGTTTGTAGGGATTTGACTGATTGGTTACAGGATATCATCATGAGCTTACATTGGTTAGAGAACCATTGGAAAACCTTGGATTACTGGACACTTGTTTCGTCCTAGTTCGGGACTCTTCAGCAGTATGCATCCACCGGGGTACGAACCCAGGATATTCTGGTTACAAGGCGAGCTCGTAGACCATTAAGCCACTTGAATATCGATTAGATGTTCACTGGCGACAGGCCCTATTCAGGTAGGTAGTTATCTGGGGTTCTAGTGGAAGTCATGAATAGTAGGGTGCAGAAGGTCGGGTGTGAGGACAAATACTCGCCGAAGACATTGGATAGGGATCGCGCTATGTCGTGAATTGGCAGAAGTTAGAATTCATGGGCTTGCCGTTGGATCAGGTCCCAATGACTTAATGGTCTACGAGCTCGCCTTGTAACCGGAAGTTTCTGGGTTCGAATCCCGGTGAACGCGTACTGATGAAAAGTCCCAAACTAGGACGAAACAGCTATCCAGTACTCCCAGGTTTTCTAATTGTTTTTTAGCCAATGTCAACTCATGATGAAATCCTGTAACCAGTCCTAAATACATTTCAAAATCCAATAAATCCTCCTTCAGTCACCTTAATATCCATCTCACCTTTTAAATTGCTACAAAAAAAAAGTCTAATGGCGTAAGCTTCCCGTTTCAGTACTCTATTAATTATTATTTTTGTGTTTTTATTTTAGCGAAATTTATAAAAATTGAACAGGACTTACACTTTTTTCATCTTCATCTGCGACTAAAAGCTTCAGCTTATTCTTTTTCATTTCTAACTTCAATATTTTAGGCCTAAGTTTTAGAGGAGAATAGTAAGAGGATATAGAAAGAGAGAAATATTTTCGTTAGTTTAATCCAATCCAACTGTATATATTCAGTGAAGAGACTCTTTTCAACAAATTTATTATCAGTCTGTATAATATATATATAAGTTTTCAAAAGCTATATCCCACAAGGAGGTTTGCAAGATAGTTGTGAGTACCTTCAATAATATTTCTGTTCACAATCATAGTTAAACATGAAGCCATAAAACAGATTATGTGATCAATAAAATAGTTAGTGAAATGCATAGATCTTGAAAAAGGAGTATACCTTTAATACGTTTGAAAGGATTCTCTGGCTACAGTTGTTGTACATTACTTCATAAGATCAGGTGAACTAACAGATGCACATGTAAGTGCCAGATAAGAGAGACTATCTTTAAGACAAACGGAGAACAACTGGACTTTTGCCACAAATGCAGTCTTACTGACTGATTTACAAAGACGATTCTAGAGCATATCTAAAACCTGATCATCTTTCAATTTCAGATTCACGAAGATGGTTTTCTTTGGAATTGAGTTAGTAACAGGCTGTGAAGAATGTCTAGCCTTCATGTTTTTACCAATAAATTGGTTCTGTTAGATATTTGCAGCAAGCCTGGATCTTGGAAAATCAAATTCTGTGACAAAGCAATCAGAAGTTACAATATTTCCTATCCCGTAGTAGAGGAAGTGAACAAGATTTCTTTTCGTACCTACTTATCATTTTAATCCTACTAATTTGAAACTCCCGTCTAAGATCTATGCTTTCCATCGCAGATTCGATAAGTGTTTTTTATATATAACAGGCAGTAGTACAGTAGTAATAACTGAATGGTGTTTCTAGAATACATTATTTCTCATAATTACATCACTATATTCACACGCCTTGAATAAATTCATCATTTTTATTTATTCTAGAAATAACACATGTAGAATACAAGATGATGAGCATTTCACAGATCCTTTAATGTTTTATTTCTGCATTCTTCAGAAACTTAAGTCTCTTCCTTCTTAGTTCTTCTGTTTTCTGATCATTGAGACTAGTAAGCCAACATAACTGGATACATCAGAATAGATAGTAGCTTGTTAAGATGGTAAAACACACTCATATATGAATTTAAAAAACCAGACCTTATGCACAAGGTGCATACAGGTAAAAACAAGAAATTCTTTCTGAATCATAATTTAATTGAAGGCTTGTGGGGTGAACTGTTGTCTCAATATTCCTGTGAATGAAAGACATGTGGAAAGTGGTTCTGATTCTTTTGTTTGTTTGCTTGTTTTTCCAGCTATACATTCATTACATACTTTTCATTTTCTAGTCAGTAAACTTTCATAGAACACGAAGAAGCAGATGAACAACAAACCAAAACATCACGAGTGTGAAGCGTCCAGTTACTACAGAAACTAGGTTGACCAGCTGATGCAGTGGTGCACCGAAACGAACCAAGTAGATTTATATTGGTGGAATGAGCGATTCACTTGAAGTTTAATCACATTTTATGAGCGACATTCAACTAAGATATTCACAAATTGCAAATCTATGCTAAGATTACACTTCTCTGAACACAGAATTCCTTGTATTCTTAAGTGGAAACTGAAATCACAATACGTACGAACTTTGGATACTCCAAGCCTAATCGCATATTTGTTTATATGATCCTAATGAAATATCAGCTTAAAACACTTAGCGTTATTAAATATTAAATCATTTCTTTCCGATAAAGGTATTTTATAACACTCAACAATTTTGGAAAATGGCAGTGTTCAGTTAATTCGTAATCTCGGGTAGAATATTTCAGCGATACACTTTATGCAAATGAATATTTATTTCAGATCAAAAGGTCAACACATACAAACAATATGGAAATTTTGACAATAAATAAGTATTAGGCCTAACAGGTGTGTAGACAATGGGAACTGAGTGATAGATTACAAACGTAATTACGGGTAGATGAGAATATTGGTAAAAATACACATTAACATACAGAATACAACTACCATGTCAAAAACAATAGGAATTATGAACATAAAGACTTCAGAAATTATTGATACGGCATGGTTACCTTATCAGTACTTTTTAAAGTCACTAAACTACACTCAAGAAATAGTTTTAGATTGTTGAATTTGCAGGGAGTCGGACTGACTTCAATGTAGGTCTTGCCGTGGATTAATAGCTTTTTTAGTGATATAGGTGTATGGACTGATGAAGAGTCCCAAGTTAGGATGAAATATAGGGTTTATTACTCTCTAGTTTCCAATTGTTGCACAACTAGTGTCTATTCGTGACAAAATTTAACTTGAAGTCAAGAAATAATCTAACGAAAAACATGTAAATGTCGTACACATACCAAGTGGGTAGTAAATAATCGTAAAATTAGATGACCGATACGCCATAATTTATGCAAAATGCAACACAAAAATTAATATGACACATAAAAATACACATCTTGTAACTCACCAAAAGAATAAACCAATTTTATTCTGTCCTTCATACACTAATATACCAGTCGGTGTAAGTCCAAGGGAATAGAACTGATTGTCTTTACCCTGTGTAATACAAGGAAATGAAAAAAAAACTTTATTATAGCAAATAAAAGTAACTAATGTGTGCAACATATTGTATTCAGTCATGAGAGAGAACAATACTTGGTGGGAAGGAAGGACAATCACAACTACTATGGTGCATCGGATAGATTAAATGTACTATAAGACAATTCTTGGTATCATTACAGATATATACGTGTTGCCTTATTAACACTGAATTGAATTATATTGTCGATATGCTGAAAAATCGATGAACTCCCGTATAGATATTTATCCTTGTAGAGGATGTCATAAACTGATATTAAGAGTGAATGTTGTTCATAAGTTTACAGAATAACGTCGAATAATTGAAACTCATTTGTGTCCGAATGATAAGTTCATTGTCAGCCTGCAGGTGAATAGATTACAGTTAGCAACTATTATGGCTGTTAAAGTATAGCAGATAGTAAATTTCTTGAAATATTTAGAAACTAATTTAAATTACAAAGACCTTGAATAAGTAAACCAAAACCAAAAGTGAATCACTACTAGGGTGACAAAAATAAGTTAACTAATCTTTTAATTAACTTTAAAATAATGATTATTACAACCAGTGAGGTAAAATATCCATTCTTATGCTGTGATAGTAATGCGATGTCAGATTTTATCAGATAACTTTCACGGCTGTTCAACAGACTAATTTCTCTTTTGTGTTATTATAATCAATAATCTGTTCACCTATGTTGTATTCAGAGACTTGGAAACTGTGACTGTTTACATTAGTGCACCATTGTGCATGGATTTACGTCTTTCTGTCAGCTTATTTGCGTCTATCAGTGTCATTTACTTGACCAAGCAAGTATTCTTGCAGACAGACACCTCAGCCTCTAATTTTCCTCTTGCGAACATATTCTCAAATACTGGGAAAACCTTGGTCATAGTAAAAATTCAAACTTGAGAGTTACTTATTCAAATTCTGGTGCCATTGATCTTTTTCTTATAATTTTCGAAAAATATGCATAAAATATTCACATTTCTATTGATCTGGATAGCTGCTGAAAACCAAAATTAATATTTGACCTTTTTCTTCATCATGTATTGTAGTGAAAGCTATTGATTTAAGATTTATCAGTAGTGGATAAAGAGACGTTCATCTGCATAAAAAAATCAAATATCTAGGAGATATGTTTGATGTCAGAGAAGGCGAATGGTACAGTGTTGCAGAGATACATGGGAGACGTGAAAGAAACACACACACACACAAAAAATACGAAGTCCAGAAGTACCACAACACGAAGGTTTGTGCAAATTGTGCGTTGAAGATAAGATGTGCATAATCTGGTCATATAGAGATACGGGTTTACAAATAAATAATCTTTACCAAGTCTTTCGTGTTCTACCGTTAGGGTATAGTTTCAGCAGTTACGTCTGGACCTAAATTACATGAAATTTCCTTAACATGTACCCATAATGTTGATACAGTTTTAAGTTAAGAGATCTGCCATTTCTAATTTCGTCTTGATGTGGTGGTGAAAAATTCTGTTGCATTTATTACTGAGCCATATTACTGTCCATCAATTGAAAACACTCGGTAATCACGTTTTGTTGACTCTCCGTACATCTTATTTTAACTGCCAAATTTTATCCACCAAGATCCAATATACTGATACCTTCCTCCCAGTCACTTTGCTTTCAGTTAAAGGAAGCTCATAAGAAGATTTTTAACCATTTGAAGCACAAGTCAGGCCTAAAAATTATAGATGTATCTGATGTGTACATTTCAAGGCCAAATAATCTAGTAATCAGATTGGGTGAAAGTGTCAGCTTTCATTTTTCGTGATGTTTATTGTCCGAGTGTGGTCAAAATCACAAAAACATATTTTGATATATAATTTAGCCTTTTTAAAACATCAGACAACTCATCGTCATACCTGATTTACACTGAGGATTAGGTAGATGTGTTTATCACCGTCCAGTGGCCATTTTGGGTGTAGACGTAATGCCTGCTTATCGATCAAAGGACATGTGCACTTTACAGAAGTTTGCTCTATCCATCTTTACTTTTGTGAGAATTTCCGTTGGAAAAAGAAGGTGTAAAGAAGCCAGTCATGTTTCACCAAAAGTGTTTTCATTCCATCACTTATGTTAGATGATATAATATAATGCGTAATATTGAGTTTGGGCGTATTTGGTTAGATATAAAGGGAAAAAAAGTTCTAGGAAGTTGAGAAAATCATCGATTGAGATTTCCAGGAGAATTGTTGCTCATGCCAAGTCACCACCATTCTTGTCGAGTAATGTTGGCCGGTATATGATTAGTTTTAAAGAGAGCTATGAGTGATCAAAGCGAAACATGCGACCAATCAATGAAGTCTCTGACTTTTGTTTCAAATCACGTAGGGAAGTGTCAACTATATAGCTTGGGTCCTTGGAGCGCTAAAGACCGATGCGTTGAGACTATTTATTGGTGATATGGCTGAATATCTCCTTAATGAAAACAAAACACGTAGATCAGCGAAGAGTCTCTTTTCGGCGAATTCATTTTCTTAGCTGTACAATCGCAAATATATATGCATTGTTTTGTATGTATGTGTACATTAAGTTTGTCAAACAAAGTTACAATTGGTTAAGGTTACTTTTAACTAAACAAGTGAAGGTTGGTAATACAGGTCAAGAAAATTAAGTGCTAGGGTAGTAACAAAGGTGATGAGTTGTCACAAACAGTTGTAATAATAATAGTGAGTTTTACTCAGGATGCACATAGAAACAAAGTAGATAATACGAAACTATGTAAGAGATCTAAGTGGATACAAGAATTATAATTGCTTAAGGTTATTTTAACTAAACAGGTAAAGGTTGGTAATATAAGTCAAGACCATTAAGTGCTAGGGTAGTAACAAAGGTGATGAGTTGTCACAAACAGTTGTTAAAAGAAGTTATGCAATAATAATATGAATAGTTTGATGAGTGAGTTTTACTCAGGATGTACATAGAAACAAAGTAGATAATACGAAACTATGTAAGAGATTTAAGTGAATACAAGAATTATAAGCAATTAAGGAACAGGCAAAGAAACAAAATTAAGTCATCAAAATAAAAATAAAAGCTCAAAACAATTCAAAACATTGTTACCATGAGAGTAGAAGTGGTTGAGTAATCTTCTTTTGTATGCACAGCTCCGGTTTTTCCATGTGAATGGCCAGAGCTTCAGCGATGCAAAGGAGACGAAACCGTATTGCCTTTGATATGTTATTCTTGACTCTGTAGATTACTTTGAAGGAGGCGTTCGTTGAAATGCAATGATCAGTGTTGACCAGGTGTTCAATTATCGCACTCCTTATTGCACCAGTATTGCCTTTTCGCAACCATGCTGGATAATGTTCTTGAATTCTCTTGGACAGGATGCGCGTCGAGCGACCGATGTACCTGGCTCCACAGCAGCAGGTGAACTGGTATATGCACATAGAAGTGGCCAGATGCCTGTTCCTTAATTGCTTATAATTCTTGTATTCACTTAAATCTCTTACATAGTTTCGTATTATCTACTTTGTTTCTATGTGCATCCTGAGTAAAACTCACTCATCAAACTATTCATATTATTATTGCATAACTTCTTTTAACAACTGTTTGTGACAACTCATCACCTTTGTTACTACCCTAGCACTTAATTTTCTTGACCTGTATTACCAACCTTCACTTGTTTAGTTAAAAGTAACCTTAACCAATTGTAACTTTGTTTGACAAACTTAATGTACACATACATACAAAACAATGCATATATATTTGCGATTGTACAGCTAAGAAAATGAATTCGCCGAAAAGAGACTCTTCGCTGATCTACGTGTTTTATTTTCATTAATGCCTGGATGGGGATTATCCATGAATATCTCATTCGCTCTGTTTTGATCCTTTCAGTTTTATTAAATTCGCATTATGCACCATGTAACTATTCTTTCTTCTGTGCATTTCTGTTAATAATATTTTCTCTTCATTTCGTATTTGTAACTTTACGGGGGCTTTTATGAAGAGTGTTGGCTTGGCCTGCTGCACTTCCACGAGAAGTTCTACGTTGAAAAATTCAGTTCAGTGCCATCCGATGATCAATTTATTCACATAATCAGATGTTCAACTCATGCAACATAATAAGAATTGTGAGTTTATTATAGCTACTTTGAATTTGTTCTGAATTATTTCATCCAAAGTGTCCACTTTGGAGTTTCTCTTATCTTGATTATCTGCTTCAGAGTACACTGTCTGATAAAATGTGTAATTCATTTCTTATTGTATCACATTTTTCATAAGTACTCTTTATTTTGCTGCATCTTACAGCTTAACTCCATTAAAATGCTTGTAAGCTCACCATCTTTCTAAACATCTCAGCTGATACCAGAAGACCTTCGAATCCATTTTCTTTTGATGGTGAGGCTATTTGAGATAGCCATGGGTTGGAAGAATGTTATTTATATGGTAAGTGGGTGATAAATGAGGATAAAAATGAGAGTCTAAATAGCTCAGGACTCGCCCTGAAGGCCCTCTGATTACTGGTTCAGAGCTCTCTGTTGATCTATGAGACCGCTAACTAACTGCTAACCTGGTTGCCATTTCACTGCAGCTTTTTGATCAGTAGTTAGTTTTCTACCTTTCCGTTTATCCTTGAAAAAGATTTCAACTTTTAATTGAAAGACAAGTTTTGTTAAAACAAAAGGAGCAGTTGTGTAAATCATGTTAAACAATAGTGATGTAGGTCATAAAGGAAGACAAGTGTAGAACTATTAGATTCCCACTTAAAACTAATCATAAGATTCAGACTTAAGTATAAAATTCTCTGTAGTAATGTAGAGCACAATTTGAAATAACATGACATAAACACTGAAATCTTTTCTAAACTCAAATGGATTATTTCAGTATTTATTAAACTGTGCGTCGGTGACACAGTGGTTAGGACTCTCACCGATCGTGCACATGGTCCGAGGTTCGATCCCCTGCCGACACACACCTGATATCTATGGTCGGCCTGCAAAATTTGGGCTACCGATATCCATGCTGAAAATTCCATACTTGTACCAAAAATACAGTGTGGAATCAAGCTGCAATCAAAAATAAATAAATAAATATTTATCTGTAATTCTCATATTTATTAATTCTTAAATCAAGCACAGATCAGCAAATAGTGTGGCGTAGTAACATTAATTTAATCTAAAATGCAAATCATCATAAACACACATGTAAAGATAAAGTATAAATTGAACAATGAACACATGAAAGTTCAACAAAACAAACCTTTACAGTGTGCATTTCAACTCCATAATCTGGTAGTAGGCGTACTTTTTCTAAATAAATTGATTCAGCAGCAGCTGGTGTTAAATTACGTCCACTAGAATGAGAAATACATAAAAAAGGAGTAAAACATTAAAAAACAGCATATACCTGGAAAGCTATAATTCATTTGATTCTAATATCTTCGAATATATAAATGAATTTGTTTACTGGCAGCACATAGAAAACAAAAAGATAACTACTTATATAGATTGATTGATAAACATGACTAAGATAGATAATCTTTTCTAACCATAGTTAGAACTGACAGTCATTTGAGAAAGTTAGGGCGTTTATTATATTCTAATCATCACAGTAAAAAGAAGTGAATCTCTGTAAAAACTTTGTTCTACTCAGATCAAATACTATTCTTATTCATTATTTATTAGGATATATAGTTATTATACCTACTTGATTGGTGCTTCCGAGACTGTTGGTGTTTTCATTTTGTTGAATTTATGTTTAAATTATACTAGATAAACTAGTCTGATCGAATGTGTTGGTTGTCCGTGCAGAAGACCAGGCTATAAAGAGGACGGCATTCAGTTCAAGCTGTGTTTGACTAAATATTTAATTTTCCATAAATCATATATATAAGTATTGGTATTTCACAGTTTATGGTGTTTTAAATAGTTACTACAACCTACAGGTTGTTTAAGGAACACAAGTCCAACTCGATATGAGTCAGGATGTCCAGCTAAGAAAATTAAATTAAATATATAATATATGAGATACGTCAATGAGGTCCCTGTAGGTTCTAGGAATCAACCTCTTTTCCATACAAATGAGAAATTGGTTGAAGGATTTGATTATGAGTTGACATCAGTTGAAGAACCAGTGCGAAACTTGGGAATACTAGACAGCTGTTTCGTCCTAGTTTGGGACTCTTCGTCAGTTCATGACATAGTGCGACCACTTGGCAATGTCTCCTTCGTTGAGTTACTGCCTCACTTTCAACCTGCTGCACCCTACTGGTCACAGCTTCCCACTAGAACACCAGGTCACTGCCTGAATAGGGCCAGTCACTTGTGAGCAGAGCAGAAGTTAGAATTCACGGGCCATTGGATCGGGTCTAATGGTGTACAAGCTCGCCTTACAATCAGAAGGTGCCGGGTTCCAACACTGGCAATGGGCGTGTGCTGTTGAAGAGTCCCAAACTAGGACGGAACAGCTGTTCAGTACTCCCAGGTTTTCCAATGGTTCTATAACTGATGTCAGCTCATGATGAAATCCTCCAACCAATTAAACAAAGTCCCTACAAAAACCAATACTTGACAGATGAGAAATATTAATAATGGTGTTTACGTATTCACTCTCGAAATTTCCAAATAATCTGTTACTCTAGATTTATTTAATTCTGTTCTTCTTTGTGTTTTTCCTTCTTTATTCTCTACCAAGTCTAGTGATGAGTTGAACACGAATGTTGATTTATGCTCACTGAGATGCTAAGTTTCTCATAAACTGGAATCGGGGCATATTTTAAGCCACTATGCTTATTTATTTGCTGGTAAATACAATTAAAGTTGATGATTTAACCTTTTCTCGGATGCATTCTTTTATGAGTAAATACCTCTCTGTTCTGTATGCTTTATGCTGCTGGCTGACTCATACGAGTAGTTGGATACCACTTATGTGCTTGCTAGCCAGATTGAAGCAACCTAAACAATTTTCCCCTTGTGTAAATTACAAATTGGTAATTTGATTCCTCTTTTCTAACTGTCAAAGACAGTTTCATAGAGAAAGTGATTATGTAACACTTGACATAAATGATTTATTTGTATTAAAGCAAGGTGATACGGTGGTAAGTATTTGCACTTAATTTGCTGGCTATTCTGAAGGCTTTTCTGCTATTAAAACCTTAATTTCTACATGAACTTATTGAATTATAAAAGTCTTCAAATCTACAGTTCAGACAGTAATAAAATTACCAGAAATGAGTGTAAATGTTTTCGCAGATAGAATACCTGAAAGCTAGTAAACTGGGTTCATATACTATACACTGCTTTAAGGCTGATCTATTTTCATTCAAACTCCTTAAACAGTCTCTAAATTCACCAATAGCAGTACAAAAATAATTTCCTCCAGAAGTGCTTGAAATAACTGAGTAAGTTCAGTTCAGTCTAAATGGAATTTTCAGTAATACTTTCATGAACAACAAATGAAACTAATGATACTCCTGCTTTAGTGTGAGTTAATTACAGAATTTCAGACAAAATGCATAGATTACCCAGTTGAGTCTAGAGAAGAATTACAACTATTCAACAGTCACCTTAATAAGTATACAATGTTGTTCACAGTAAAGCTTCATTTTTGGCCCATGGCAGTAATGGCTTCTTGAATGAATCTTAAGATACTAATCAGTGACTGATACAAATGAAGAACATTTTTCAGATTAACTGCTGTTCAGATCTTACTACAGGGACAAGAAGTTTCCAGAAGTTTGTCGAAGGGAAAAAAACAGTACCTAATGTCATTTATGCAGGTAGTATTGCGATGAATAATAATATTCCTACTATCCACAACTTTATCAGACTGACCTTGAGGGGGTCACTGGACACGTACAAATTTCTAAACTTCATATTATTTTTGTCAAAATGAAGAAAAATATACATCTTAAGAAATAATGCATTGTTTTATCAAATAGATTGTTTTTTAAATTGTCTTTAGAGAAACTACCCTTTCTAAATCCATAATGCTTCGCCAAAATGGAAGTTAAGAGAGGAATCTCCCTGGTTACTTGAAATGCTGTTAGGCAAAAATAATTCCGATCAAGTTGATACTTCGTAAAACTAGAAATGATGAAGTTGAAAACTCCATTCACTATTGATGATCCCTGCCCAGATGAGCAGAACATTTGTCCGGTATCTAGATCACTTAGATCCGGCTGGCAAGCACTACTAGCTGATTTGATTGGTGTTCACTCACTCATATCAAGAAGACAGTGGTATGTAGTGTGGTGCATTTATCACAAGACAATGTAAGTGAGTAAACTGAGTAAGTGAGTTCAGTGAAAGTCACTGCATGAATTACTCACCATAAAAATCTTTAAATAGTGAAAGTACAATTTCAAAAGTTGAAACTAACTTCCTTCATACTGAAAACTTATTGACCGATAGATCTACTTCAGATGTCTGAAAGATTAATTGACGGCCTCTATAACTACTGGCCGGCTCAGAATAAGAAGACCATATAACTTCATCAGTAAAAGATGCCATTGAAATCCAAGTCATGCTAAACTTCATGGGTTAAAAATGAGTATCTATGGCGTGTTTCGCAGTGTACACTACCTTTCGTCCAATGCTCTGAACTGCTTCAAGTAAGTATTTGTGCAAATCGACATACTTTCATCTAAAAATGAAGTGTTTATTCATGCAGGAGAAAAGACAATGATTAATTGTCTAACACCAGTTAACTGATTATTTTGAAAGTAATGAGATACAGCCAACCTGGTTTGCCGCCTCCTTAAATATGGACTTATCTGACTACTTTTCTGGAGACACTAATAATAATGAGCTTACATGCAACTCAGATAAAAAAAGTGTAACTTATCTGATTTTACATGAATTTCCCCCTGAATTCCAAACTTATCTCATACACATCGGTAAAGTCTGGAAACTTTTTTCAAGACTTTGTGTATATGGTCAGAGTGACACATACAAGCTCAAGTCAACTACTAGATTCCTATGGAAAGTAAAGCTTTTAGTCCTCAATAACGACTTGCTCAGTATCAACAATCATATCAGGTGGGGCGGTCATAACATCAAGAAATACGTCACCGAACAGTCCAAGTCATCTCATGCCAAAGAGAGTTGTTGGATATACAGACCAAAGTTGTTTCAACAGTGGAAGACCATTCTTCACATTCATAGCCCAGCACTCTAATCAGGTATCTGAAGTGATTCTAGTTGGACATAGTAGTAGTACATGATATGCTTTACTCAATTTGATATGATACATTTACCACATTTATAAACGGAATTCGTGGTCTGTGTTAAGAACAAAGAATATGTAGTATAAATGTTTTAAATTCCAGATAACTTGATGCGATTGGTATGCATTTCCGGATCGGATTAACCGGTCTTCCTGTGGCTCCTTAAACGGTTGATCCATTATTGTATTGATTTCTAGTCTGTAGTAGTTCATTTGGTGATACATAATAAGGAATGACCAAAACACAAAGCTCCAAAAATACGATATATACATAAATTCTTGACTGATAACGCAGTTACCCAACATAAGAACTCAAAGCTTTTCAAATTAAAGAATGATAGATACTTACGCTAACTCCCTGTATTTGTCCAGCACATAGAGTTCAAACTCTTCTGTCTGTTTTTCTTCTGGTAAAAATCGAAAGGTCGAAACAAAGACTGGTGTATGTTGTTTCCTGTCGTAGTCACCGAATTCGGCTAAAATTGGTGGAAAAGTATAAGAAATCCCTGTTGGCTACCGTATTCTAGAATTTGAATTAATTGATGTATAAAAAATTTTTCTTTGGCTACAAGTATATCCTGCCAAGCGCTTGTGTGCACGAAAATATTCGAAAACAATCCTTGGGGGCTCATAGTTTTTATTACATGCATGAAGGGAATATTGTGATTTTATTTTCCTCCCTAACACTTATGACTTACCGTCTATTTACACTTCACTGGCACATAGTAAGAACATCAAAAATCCGAATATCATGCATATGTTCATTTATTTGTGACATCTCAGTGAAGTGTAACTATTTCCTGACATTTAAGTTGTTCCTTCCCTAAAGATTTACCTCTGAAATTTATGATGACTTGAAAATCGCATTTAAAATTTGTGCTTAGTAGTTCAAAGCGGAGATAAAAGAAGTACTTATTTGGTACTGGGCTTTGATAATGCGAATTAAATAACAGACTAAACCGTTATAGAAACGTACAGGGAATTCCCTATAACGTGCAACTATGCGGTAAGAGATAACACGCTAATACATGTCTCCTAAGGGTGACTCAGAGATGTAATTATATCTGATAACGTGATCAAGTGAGCCTAATATCAACAAGTTCTAATACAGATGAGGCGATTCTTAGCACCCCACATACAGTATGTGTTGATTGAGAATGCAAACGTCCTAAATAAAGCATGCATTCATTCAACGGTTCATGTATTAAACACTTATATGTAAACCATATATAGTGTGTGAAAATGTTTTTAGTAAGAACACAAAAGAGACTTATTGAAACGATGGGAGGACAGATTGTAGTGCTCATATTGAGAGATCTCAACAAACTGTTATATTCGTCCAACGAATGAATGCTTCGAAGTAACTCAGAAAAATGCGCAACCACATGCATTTGACTCGCTGGCGTCAGCTCATACGAACTCCAGGAAATAAGACTCTCACAAGTTCAGGCCAATACATATATATGTGTCATAATAAGTCATAACCTATAAACTATAGCATACTATCACCCGGTGGCAGCTCAAAGTCTCAGATCATTATGGGCAGTGCTTAGACCGTTTACTAGAACCATCACTGATATATCCACCTCTTTACACACACCTAGTGAGGAAAAAAACCGGAAAACTACATCCGGTCCTTGTTTTCGGTGGGACCCATACATTCTAGAAGGGGTTTAAGTGAAGAGATCAATTACGATTCTTGGTATGAGTAATTTATCACTCGAGGAAAGACTTAACAGACTGATTCGCTTCTCCCTGTCATACCACGGGCAGGCAGGAGACCTAATTACAACGTTTAAAATTCTGAGGAGTGACTATAGGCTTTGTCTACCTTCTCTTTCGCTTTCCACCAGGTCACAACACCACAGAGGACATAGCAAGAGAGTTCAAAAACCAAGGATGTATTATATGTTTTTTGTCTTCACTATGCCACGTAACAAAGCTATTTTACTTTTATTCTTTTGGCGCTCTCAAAAATTAATCTAAACTAAGATGAACAGTTATCTCCTCCAAAACCCTGTATCTACTGGATTTACTCACGTATCGATGCACAAAATACAGACAAATGAAAATAAACATTAGAATTACGTGCTGTTAACCTTGGAGAAGTAGAGCAGCCAGTTCAGCTCCAAGCTGTAGGTCATTACACGTTACCGCTCCTTTTTGGATTTCATCACGCAGTTGCAGCACAACAAGATACCGCGTATACTCGTCGTGCAAATTGTGTGGATCAGAGGCGAAGAATTTCACCTTCAAAGAAAACAGAAAAGGCGGCCCGCCTGAAAAGCAAAAGAATCGAATAAATGCTGTATTGCTAATAGGTTTATCCAGCTGACACGAAAATCTACAGCGTACATAAGTCTACAATTTAGAAATACAGAAGCAGAACCCGGAGATATGATGTGCATTTACGTTCCAAAATGTAAATTCAAACTGTGCTAGTGCATGTAACAATAATTTTACTCACAGACGGACGGTGAGACGTAGATCAAACTAACGGTGTTCTATAAAGTATAAGCTAGTTACTTTAAAACTGATTCATGTTTGTTCTGATACATTACAAAGCCTTCAGAGCATAGGTTTATGCACAAGTTACTAAGCGTTTGGACGTCGTCATGCCAATATACTGACGGCATGTGGACCAGTTTTAAAGACTGTTTGTATGTTGTAAAACGGATGCATCCACCCTTTACTTACAACCTAACCACAGCTACATTAAAAAAGCATGACGCCTGTGTTGTAGGCGATACGAAATAGAAGAGAGTGAAAATTATGCTCGGATAAATGTGAAAGAGATCTTAGGAATACTTATATTAAAAGTGGATACTTGAAAAAAAGTGAACCCGTAACCGCTCAAACAAATTCAGCATATACGGTGACGTCCTCATCAACTATAGTTATAAGGAAACCCCATTAGCTACTAGAGAGTAAATATAGAGTACAAACATTATTTTTTCATAACTAAATAACACCTCTTCGCCAGACGTCGAGTCGAAGATTCAGATGTACAATATCCGTAGTTTATATTAAAAACCAATTTAAATGTGATTATGTGAATCATATTATTGATGATTCTTTGAAGATTATACAGGAAACTATGTGCGTTTCAGGATACTATGTAAAACACCACGTATGAAAACCTTGAGGGAAATATACTTTGACTAAAGGCTGAAAAGAAAACCCTGAACAACTCAAAACTCCTAAGAGATTGTTAGTCATCAAAGTTGATTATTAGTACAGCAATAAGCGAATTCAGAATTGAAACAAAATCGCTTGTCATGTTATTCTCCAGGTGTATCGAAAATCAATTGACCTTAATAATACCCCTATCAGTCTAATTATAATACAAATCCATAAATTTATGCAGACAGATACAACTAACACATTTTTGCAAATCCAAGACATGGAATTATAACCAACTTTTACACTGCTTCCGAACTTCCTTCGTCGGGTCCAACCAAATCTGAGACAGTGTGTTATTTAAATTCCAATCGACATACCGGAACTTGGCTTGAATAACGCAGGCCGAAATAATCTTTTTCTTCGATAAGTGCAACATACGCAAATGCTATGTCGATAAGTTCGGCCCCCTTTGCGTTTTTCTGCAAGACATAAGCTACATACATTTAAAAGTATTACCGGAACATAAAAAGTCTGCTCAGTGCCATCAAGATATATTACTTTACATTCCAAATCTGATTTCTTAATCTTTTTGGATTTGTTAACGGATACTGGTTCTTCTACATGGCTTGGAGTAGGTGCTGGAGGATTTCGGCGAAACCTTTTGCTGAAAAAGCGAATAATTGCTGCCATGCTTTTGTGAACAAGTTAGGTCTTCTTGATTTCGTGAAAAACAACAACCTTGCGAATTTCAACAATATTGGCGAAGACAAACAAATATAATAAAAGAATGATTGAATTGATGCATAGCAATTGAATTCCATACTCTGAACAATTTCTCCAACAGACGATATTTTGCATCATATTTAGACGTTTTCTGTGACGAACAGCCCTGTAAAACAGCGAGTCGAAGGTATAGGGAATGGTATATTGTTACCTTATTGATGATGAAGACGAGGAGCAGGAGGAGAAGGACTTGGAAGTGGTGGCATAGGTAGCCAAATTGGAGGTGGAAAATTTTTCATTGTTAAATAATACTGCTCTCAATTCTATACACTAGTCCAATGTGATACTCTTTAAATGAGGTGCTTCACTTAAAATTAAATGTGAAATTCCAACTTTTTCAAAATGCAATGAAGTAAGACAACTATGGACAGCATGAATTGTAAGTATTTGAGGTTTTGGCAGTGAATAATGCCTTAATTCACTAGTATTTATACAAGCATCACGTGCTAACCATTTTGATGATAATTTACGTTGACTAGGCTCTTTACACGGAGCAGATATCTGATAATTTATCATACCCTGAGAGTAAAGAAGGGGATCAGAAGCACACCCTGAACACTCATTAAAAACCAGTTACAGGATGAACAATCTGACCTGATGGAAGACCGAATAACGGAGACATTATGAAAATTAACTTAGTCCATTCAGAAGATCTAATTACTTTGTATAACATTTTATGCTGTACTGATGGAGGGTAAGGATGAAATGCATAAATACCACCAAGTTGTATTAGTTGAGGCATCACTCCATCATTATTAGTAGTAGTATTAGTAGCAGTAGGTGTACCACCATGAGACATAGAGGCGGTTATTTGACTTTGAGTGTTGTCGGTGTTGTTTTGACTTGATGGTGGTACCCCAGCTGCTGCTGCTGACCGCAAAAATGAATTCCATTTCGAGCAAGAAGAAGTGCCAGGCGTAGAGGTTACACTTTCAGAGGATGATGAAGCTTTACTACTGCCACTTTTTGTTGGTGCTTTTGTGTCAACAGTTAATCGAGATTGAAACATTCTTAGCATAACATCCCATTCGAGCATACCACATACACATGTCTGTGTAGACTGAGATATAAAATCGGGTGATGATGAATTATCCTCCATAATCCATGGGCTTGCTTCTGTATTATTCGAAACTGGGATATGTACAGTGTCTGCAAACAGAGTTTTAGCCACAACGGTTACCAACTTCTAATCCCCCCTCTCATTCTTTCCCGTCTCTCTCTCCCTCTTGTACTCTTCTTCGCCTGTTCACTTAATTTATTTATCCAATTTGTTGAGATTATTCATCATTTCTACACTGACCTTTTTAATCTCCTCCTCGATATGTGTCTGTACACAGTATGCATGTCTAAAAGACCGTACACATTTTGCTCATTGCAGTTTCGTCTCCTCTAATCACTGAAGCATCAGTGTGTGGGTGTTCGTGTATACTTTCTTGTTTTTTTCGCATTTGCGAAGACACAACATGCCAGAAATTAGACGATCACGTAGTTGAGTATGCAGCTGATCTCCAAAGTTGCACTTTGAAGCTTGTATCTGAAGCTGAAGAATAGCGTCTCTAAGCTTCCGGTTGGGAGCACGAACCAGTTTATTGAACTGAGCCCTCTCTCGTGTTTCAAAAGTAGTTATATGGAAGTGATGTTTCAGAAGTTCACAGAGCTTATCATATGACAGATAAATGGGTTTATCGGGAAACGTCAGAGTTTGTACTAGGCTATATGCATCTAGCTCAATAGCAGTAATGAAATGTGTTGGAATTTTGTCATCCCGAACGTTCTTTGAAATGCACCATGCATCGAAGCATTCAAGATAATCAGCGATTTCCCGCGATGGACCAATTATAGGAAACTTTCCAAGGTTATTTAGTTCCATCGCGACGCCAAGTTGTTGTAATATTTTGTAATCGTAGTATTAGTATTTCGAGATGACCAAATTACAAGAATTCAACCAAAACACAGAGAGGGATGAATTCAGGAATTTGTATTTAGCGGAATTATAATTCAACACATATAAGAAATATATTAAAAATCAACAGTGGGCATTTAAACAATACAGAGGTAGAAATAGCCAATCACCACACTTTCGCGGTACGTTCAACGGTTGCGTTACATTTTTACGTGATTCGTTACATAAAATCTATATTGTTGTAATACTTGCACAAGTACTATAGCACTTCCATACTTGTAACCATTAAATCTCATTTCTAATAGTTATGGTTAATCAAAGTAAAAAGCAACGAACCCAATCCCCTGTAAAACTGGTGTCTAATTTAACGTCCTTGATTGCTACATCAAGCAACACACCCCCTACAAACGGCTATAATGAGTCACATAACTCACATGTATGCCGTAAGCGTCGAGCTGAACTGAGGATAAAACTGTACTGACAGCTAGTATTAGCACTACTCCTAAAAATTCAGTACCCTCTGCTCATACAGAACTCCTCCCTTCACCTTATGTGCTTATCGAGAAACTCCAGCCATCAAGCTCTTTTTCAGTACTATCTTCAGAAATAGAACTTCTAAAGTTGTCTATAGGAGAACTTAAGGCTGAGTTAAGGGAAATAAAAAACAGTAAGTCAGTAAATGCTGGAAACATCGAAACCAATACCGAGATATCCAAATTATCAGATCAGATCAGCGATATCAGATCGCAGGTCTGTGAACTGACACCTCTAACTATCCTCATGAAAACTGTAAACCTTAACAAGCTTGACACAGAATCGGTAACTAAGGTAGATAACCTCATTAATTTTGTTACCACAGAAGTAACAAAACGACTCGACGCAAAACTGAGTGCTATTGTCTACAACGTTCCGGACAATGAGGCACTAAAAAAGGTACAGCGCATCTTACTTAGTGAAGCGAAAATGCCTAACTCCAAGACTAAGTGCTACAGGCTGAAGAAGAGTCAACATGAAAAGTGTTGTCCTATTCGTTTTCAGTTCGAAACACCGGCAGAGACCAGAAAATTCATTCACTCCCAACACACCCTATCGCAAGCCAGAAACTACAAACATATAAAGGTCGGGGTGGACAAAACAGTCATAGAAAGGCGCGCATACAACTATCTCGCTAAGACTAATTGTGAAATAGGTAATAGGACATTGCAAGCAGCCATTATTCCCAACCCTGTGAAAGATACAGTAGACCCCACCGCATCACCCCTCTCAAAACACACAGAATTATCCCATCAGAGTGCAACACCAGCCGAAAGGCCACTAGACTGTAACCAAATAAATAATAAAACCATACCACCCATCACCGCAGAATCTAAAATGCCACTAAATAACCCCAGAAAAAAAGTCAAAACCCCCCGAAATTCGACTTTGTCCTCTCCTAGCCATAACTCCATTGCTAAAGATAAGGAAAATATGCCCCTAAATCATACCAACAAAAACAGTGGCAGCTTAAATAAGCCCACACTCCCACGGTCAATAGTATTAGCACTCACAACGTGCTAAATCGCACCATGGCACACACTAATATCCAATGTCACAACAATGTCACCCTAAATAGTACAAGTGGTAATAGTCAGAACTCGGCTACCAACAACTCAGGGTCTTCAGAGTATGGCACACAAACAAATTTTGACCGGATATATGGTACAAGTCTGCTGGGAACTAACCCACAATGCAGTACACACGAAACCCACACAAGGACACAACTAGCATCAAACAATAGGTGGAATAATAAGCCATGGTCATCACAAGGATCCAATCATTTTTTATCCCCCGCGTCCCTGTCAGCGTTGAAAAAACAGCTGGTAGGGATGTTAACACTCCTAAACCACTAGTGCTGGCTCCCTCCTTGCATGAAAACAGGAACGGTCTAGTGCACCCGTATCCATTGGACACACTTGACACTTGCACAAGTATAGGCCAAATAAAGAACCCTACCCACTTCTGTAACCTAACTAAAAATAAAAATTCCTTAGTCTATAGCAAATCCAGTACTCCAACTCCTAATTCTTCACCGAAAACAGCACACACCAACTCGATAGACATAGGTGAGCATGATGCTGGAACTCCTCTTAACATAGGATCGTCATGTCCAGCAGAACTACTGGGTGCTGAACCATATTCGGGGCTGACTAACGAACTTAAATACTTCAAATGCTACTTCAACTCTCATCTTTACGTAATCCTCATAAATGCTAGATCTGTTCTAAATAAATTGCCGATGCTCAGAGCACTCACAGTAATATACAAACCCCCTGTAATTGTCATCACTGAATCTTGGTGTCATTCGAACATCCTGGATGAAGAAATAAGCTTAGATAACTACACACACTTTCGGTGTGACAGGGAAGGTGGTAAGGGAGGGGGTTGTCTCATGTACTTTCTGAATGCACTTACTGTATCACAGCTAGAAAGTAGTACACTTAACATGCCTGAGACTCTATGGGTTAATGTACACTTAAATAACGTAACAGCATTAATTGGATGCACCTACAGAGCACCTGGCACCTTTAGTAATTACGAGACCCAACTTATTAATACTCTGGAGCAATTATCCGACTTACAATACGATCATAAGATCCTATGTGGGGACTTTAACTTACCTGAAATCAACTGGGATATACCCACAGGTCCAACTAAATTTGATAAGTTCTTAGACACACTGGATATACTTGGCTGGAAACAAACTGTCACTACTCCCACAAGAGGTAACAACGTACTAGACTTAATCTTCTGCCACAATATAAGCCCCCTTTCAACGCTAGTAGGTTCTGAGTTTCCAGGGAGCGACCACAAAACAGTGATGTGTGCACTGCCAATTCCGCTGAGTAGCAATGCATCTCATACCTCCACTTCACAACAAGTAAAATATAGGAACTATAGTAAGGCAAACTGGGCCTTAGTTGAATCGATGCTAAGATCCTCCAAATGGGATGAATACTTCACTACTGATGACCTATCGAGAGCCCTAACCATCTTCTACCATAACTCTAACACATGCTTAGATGCTGTCATTCCACTCCAAACACTAAAGGTTTCCCCACACAGAAAGTCATTCATAAAACCAAAGGATCGTACGAAACTGAAGAGACTCTCAACAAGTTACTTCAAACACCACGACTTTGGCACTCTAGGTCTAATACTTAACACCCTTAGCTCCATCTCACAAGCTCAAGATTTCCGTATGAGAAAGGAAGAACGCATCGCAGTAGCCAGTCCTGCTAGAGTGTATGCACTCACAGAAATCTTAAGGAAGCGAATGAATCGCAAAAATCACAGCATTTCTCTCCTCATAGACAAAGGTAGGCTATGCACTAACTCTGCAGACATATGTGAACTATTCAACAAAACGTTTGCAGGTAACTACCTTAAGCCCTCAGTCCAGCTACTCGATATACACCCTATTACTAATATGGCACAAACTCCATCTCCACTCACACCAAACCAAATTAGCACTGTTGAATTCACTTACACTAATATTAACCAAACTATAAGAACCCTCAAAAGTTCAAAAGGTTTCGGTACCGACGGTATATCATCTTACTTCTATAAATATGGTGGCCCTGACATTCCTTAAAATATTCACAATGTCCCTAGAAACTCAAACTTACCCTGACATATGGAAGACAACATTCATTATGCCTAAACACAAATCAATATCACACCTATAGCATCTAGAATCATAGAGAGACTAGTCAAAGATAACTTAATCAAACATATGCTTAGCTGCAATGTTATAAGTCCGAACCAACATGGATTCCTGAAATCCAGATCATGTTTAACATGTCACCTAGACTTCTTCAATTTTGTAACCAGCAGTCGTGACAGACGGCAACTAGTACTTGTCATCTACTTTGACATTTCTAAAGCATTTGACCGTGTTGACCATTTACTGCTAACAAATAAGCTGAACTCCTTAGGAATACGTGACCCATTATTAGGATGGCTTAAATCATTCCTTAACAATAGGTCCCAAATAGTTAAACTCGGGTCTGCAACCTCCAAACCTAGCCCTATCACTTCTGGTGTAGTACAAGGTAGTGTCATTGGACCCCTCCTATTTACACTATACATCAATGACATATGCGCTTGCTTCACGCACGGGAAACCATTCATCTTTGCAGATGACCTAAAAGTAGCTT